GGGCCCCCCCGGGGGGTTCCCCCGGTGGGGGGGGGGGGGGTCGCGCGCTCACCCCCTCGCGCGCTCCAGCCGCGCCGCCATCACCGCCGCGTCTTCCCGCTCTCCCGCTTCGCTCCGCCCACCTAGCGGCGACGACCAATCAGCGCCGGCACCCACACGGTTTAAGCCTAGCTGACCAATCGCCGCTCGCCGCCGTTGTCGCCGACCAATCATCGCATGAGAAGGGCAAAGGGCGTTCCCACCGGTGCAAAATGTAGCCAATCGCAACGCGCGGTAAGAAAGCCACGCCCCTCATTGCCCTGGAGCCCTCAGAGCGGCCGCCATGATGGGCGGGGCTGGGTGAGGGGCGGGGGCACTTGGAGGGACTGGGTTATACTGGGAGGGGCTGGGTTATACTGGGAGGGATCGCTGGGGTCCCAGTGGGGCCCGCAGAGGTGCCACGGGCTCTCTAAGCGGCCTCTCCCCCCTCCAATAATCACACGACTCCTCTTCCCACACCCCCATGGGGGGAGGGGCCTTTATTCCCCCCCAGTTTGGGGAGCAGGGTGGGGGAGGGGTGTCCCCCAAGCTGGGGGGGACACACAGGACACCCCTCCCCCCATCATCGCCGCCGCCGCCGCTGCACCACGGTCCAGCCGTCCGAGGGGGGCGGGGGTGTCCCGCACTCCATGGCCTGGGGGGGGACAATGACGTCATCAGGATGACACGCCGGTGATGTCAGCAGTGTCACATGCAGCCCCTTGGTGACATCATCAGTGCCCCTCCCCTTCCATCACAGGGATCCTGGGGTCCCTCTCCCTAAATTTGGTGACACCATCACTGCCCCACCCCCATCCCTGTTTCCCCCCACTTGATGACATCATCAGGACTGGATGACATCATCAGGAATGACATCATCACCCTCGAGCCCCACCTCATTTGGGGGTCCTGGGGAGTCACCACCCCCCAATTTAATGACACCATCAGTATCCCCTCAGGGTTACACCCCATGATGTCATCACCACATCACCACCCCCTTTGATGACATCACCAGCACCCTCCTAACCCGATTGGCTCCCAAGAAATGACATCATCAGCTCCCCATGACATCATCCCAATGACATCACCCCCTCACCTCCTCCTCCTCCTCGCTGCTCTCCTCCTCCTCTTCCTCCCCTCGCTCCGGGGGGCTCCGGGGGGCTGTTGGGGGGGTCCCGGGGGGGCTCTGGGGGTCTCCCCCCGGGCGGGCAGAGGCCAGGGCTGCAGCCAGGGCGGGGCCACGCCGGGCCAGAGCCCCCAGGGCCGCCCCCACGCCCCCCACGTCCCCTCCCCGTGCCCGGGCAAAAAGGGTCACCAGCTCCCGGCTCACCTGCGGGGGGACACTGGGATGGACTGGGAACCACTGGGGAGGGGACTGGGGTGTACTGGGATGGACTGGGATGGGTCTGGGGGGTGCTGAGAGGCAATGTGTGAGACTGGGATGGACTGGGATGGGTCTGGGGGGTGCTGAGAGGCAATGTGTGAGACTGGGATGGACTGGGATGGGTCTGGGGGGTGCTGAGAGGCAATGTGTGAGACTGGGATGGACTGGGATGGGTCTGGGGGGTGCTGAGAGGCAATGTGTGAGACTGGGATGGACTGGGATGGGTCTGGGGGGTGCTGAGAGGCAATGTGTGAGACTGGGATGGACTGGGATGGGTCTGGGGGGTGCTGAGAGGCAATGTGTGAGACTGGGATGGACTGGGATGGGTCTGGGGGGTGCTGAGAGGCAATGTGTGAGACTGGGATGGACTGGGATGGGTCTGGGGGGTGCTGAGAGGCAATGTGTGAGACTGGGATGGACTGGGATGGGTCTGGGGGGTGCTGAGAGGCAATGTGTGAGACTGGGATGGACTGGGATGGGTCTGGGGGGTGCTGAGAGGCAATGTGTGAGACTGGGATGGACTGGGATGGGTCTGGGGGGTGCTGAGAGGCAATGTGTGAGACTGGGATGGACTGGGATGGGTCTGGGGGGTGCTGAGAGGCAATGTGTGAGACTGGGATGGACTGGGATGGGTCTGGGGGGTGCTGAGAGGCAATGTGTGAGACTGGGATGGACTGGGATGGGTCTGGGGGGTGCTGAGAGGCAATGTGTGAGACTGGGATGGACTGGGATGGGTCTGGGGGGTGCTGAGAGGCAATGTGTGAGACTGGGATGGACTGGGATGGGTCTGGGGGGTGCTGAGAGGCAATGTGTGAGACTGGGATGGACTGGGATGGGTCTGGGGGGTGCTGAGAGGCAATGTGTGAGACTGGGATGGACTGGGATGGGTCTGGGGGGTGCTGAGAGGCAATGTGTGAGACTGGGATGGACTGGGATGGGTCTGGGGGGTGCTGAGAGGCAATGTGTGAGACTGGGATGGACTGGGATGGGTCTGGGGGGTGCTGAGAGGCAATGTGTGAGACTGGGATGGACTGGGATGGGTCTGGGGGGTGCTGAGAGGCAATGTGTGAGACTGGGATGGACTGGGATGGGTCTGGGGGGTGCTGAGAGGCAATGTGTGAGACTGGGATGGACTGGGATGGGTCTGGGGCGTGCTGAGGGCAATGTGTGAGATTGGGATGGACTGGGAGGAAGTAAAAGAGCACTGAGAACACACTGGTCTATACTGGGAGGCTCTGGGAGCACCGAAGGATGGTGGCAACAGGCTGGGGATGGAATGGGATGAACTGGGAGTGGCTGCTGGGAACATCCTTGTCCATACTGGTTTATACTGGGAGCTACTGGGAGCACTTGGGAAGGGACCAAGGGTACCAGGAGGGGACAAAGGCCACTAAAAGATGCTGAGAGCAGCCTGAGGACAAACTGGGCTGTACTGGGAGTGCCTGGGGGAGGCTGGCCAGCTGCTGGGAGCACACTGCTCCATACTGGTCCATACTGGTCCATACTGGTCCGTACTGGGAGCCCACCTGCTGCAGGCTGCCGTCCTCCACCACCGTGTCGAACTCGTTGTCCATCACCTCGGCCAGGAAATCCTCCACCTCCTCCTGCTCCAGGTCAGCTGGGGAGGGGGATCGGGGGGACGACGCGGCCCGGACCCTCCCTCCCTCCCCCGGGGTGGGGGAGGGGCAGCACGCACCGTTCTGCGTGAAGAAGTCGAGCAGCGCCGAGCTGAGCCACGCGGCCTTTTCGGAACCCTGCGGCCCCCCGAAGCCCTGCGCCACGGCCAGCTGTGGGGACAGCCCGGAGGGGACATGGGGACACCCGGCGCTGGTCCCGGGGTGCCCCCAAGTGTCCCCCGGATCTCCCTCACGCTGCCCCCGCCTCATCTGCAGCGCTGCCCACCCCACCAGCACAGCTCGCAGCTGTCCCCAGTGCCCCTCCAAGGTGTCGCCAGGTGTTCCCGGTGTCCCCCTCACCTGCAGCGCCGCCCAGCCCCCCAGCACGGCCCGCACCCCCTCCGCGAACAGCGCCCGCGCCTCCACCCCGGGGGCCGCCATGACGGCGCTGCGCAGGCGGCGCGGCCGAGCGCCGAATCCGCGAACGAGCGAGGCACGGAGCGATCCCCGAGTCACCGATGGAAGCGTGGGGGCGTGGCGAGGGGCGTGACAGGACATAGGCGTGGCATTGAGGGGCGTGGCCTCAGACAGAGGCAGGACGGGACTACAGCTCCCGACAGCCCCCGCGCGGCCGTGGTCACGTGACGCGGGTGAGAGGGTGGGGCTGGGGGGCTTTTGGGGGCACAGGGGGGCTAAAAATGGTTTGTGCATCAGTGGTTTTCTGTGGGCTCCCAGACCATGTCAAACAGCCTATGACATGCTCTTTATTCAGTATATGGGAAATATTGCTTTGCAACCAGGTGCCAGGAAGGGCCCAAAGCCGGGGGAGGGGGATATGGGGGCCTAAAAATGCCAACAGTAAATGTACATTCCAGAGAGTGGTTAATGGTCAAGAAAATCAGAGGTGGCACTGGGGGCTATGGGGCACAGGAGGGATATGGGGACACAAGGGGGTTATGGGGACAAAAGGGGGATAGGGGGGCGTAGGTGGCTTTGGGGGATATGGGGCACAGGGGGGCTTTGGGGCCACTATAGAGGGTGGGGGGCGCACAGGGGCTGGAGGGATATGGAGAAGCTCTAGGGGGGCCCTAGGGGCTTTAGGAGCTGGGGGGCTCTAAGGGGTATAGGGGTTATAGGGACTGGGGGCTCTCTCTATAAGATATTGGGGGGCACAGGGGCTATAGGGGCTGGGGGC